ATATATATATATATATATATATATATATATATATATATATATATATATATATATATATATATATATATATATATATATATATATATATATATATATATATATATATATATATATATATATATATATATATATATATATATATATATATATATATATATATATATAATCTTTGTTGTTGTGTGGTTACTGTTTTTGGTATTTATTAATATCATTGATACTACTTTAAGCAAAATAGGAATAATATTTATTAATATTTTACTACCTTATTTCAATGCTTTTACCAGATAAACTAAGTTTTAGGTCAAAAATAAATGTATTCAAAAATAAAAAATGCAGTTGAGCAATAGGAAAATCTAATTGGAACAATTATTCCTACTCAATCTAACATATTTGCGATAACACTAGGTTTAAATGTTTCTAAATACAGCAATTATTTGTGCTCCATAAATATAGTATTATTATAAAATGTTCTATATCATGGTTATTAGTTGTAATAGAATTAGAAGTAATTTATATATATATATATATATGTATATATATTATTATTATTATTATTATTGTTATTATTATTATTATTATTAATGTTGTTGAGTGGTTATTGTTTTTGTTATTACAATTACTACTACTATTGTTGTTGTTATTATTATTTTTTTTACTATTATTGTTGTTGTTGAGTGGTTGTTTTTGTTATTACAATTACTACTAATATTGTTGTTGTTATTATTATTATTAATATTACTATTACACCATGAAACATTTAGTATTGGAGTTTTTTAATGAAAAACTATACACATTATAACACATTTTTGTAATAAAACAATAGCTAAGACCTGTAATGTGTATTAAAAATGTAAAAGTGTCACATTTTGGTTTCATGATGACCTTCAGAAGAGTTATGTCATCAGTATCCTCAGTTTAAGTCACAATTCATGACAACTTCTGGCTCATAACATACTTATTATCGCGATATGATTTTATAATTTTTTTTTTTGGTAGTTATAAAGTATGACTTTATTCTACATCCCTAATCCTACCCAAACCTAAACCCACTTTAAATAAAGTGTTGACAGTTTATGATTTAATTACAACCTGAGCATAAACTCATAAACCAAAAAAAAATAAATAATGCAAAAAAAAATAGACATTAACTTATAAGATGTGCAGTCAAATATTGCAGTCTCTGGTCAGCTGAGCTCTGGAGACGGGACATTTCAGTCTCTAATCTACAAAACTCACCAGCAGTCCAGCATTACTAAGCACATTTGGGCAGAACACGCAGATAGATGCTGCTACGTAACCCATTACATAATAGCGTTCAAGGGCAAACACAGTAGACCGCTGTGAGTTGAGCCGGGGTAGAATAACCACTCCAAAAGAGAGAGCGGCAAAGGAAAAAGAGACACACTCTCTCGGATTTGAGCAAACGCTTTAGACTTAAGCCTGAAAGTAGGACGCTGCCTAAAATACAGCTGTCCCAATTGTTACACTGGCATGAAATGTCAGAGCACCAAGTCATATAAAAAAAGGCTGGCCAACATGTATTGAGTCCCTTGTGCAAAGATTAGCGCGGAGGAAAACAGATCACTGTCTCTGAATGACGTCTGCTCTTCCTCCTCAGGGAGGAAACTGGCTTTGCTTTATTTCCACCTGTTAAGGAGGAAATTAATGAACAGTGCCACAGATGAAAGCGTCTGTTTAGACAGTGGAAACAGGATTAAGTGTGCACGCGGCAGGTGTGGAAAAAAACTAAATGCATGTTCGCTTCAAAGGAGAGGAAGTATTTGTATTAACGGTGCATCTTTGATCATTAATTATGAATAAGGTAAATATATATATATATATATATATATATATATATATATATATATATATGTATATATATATATATATATATATATATATATATATATATATATATATATATATATATATATATATATATATATATATATATATATACATACATATTTACATACCTATTTTTTCTACTTTTACTACTTTAATATTTTTTTTAATAATAATAATTTTAATAATAACAACAACAATTTTAAATGAATAATCATACAAAACATTTTATAATTCTTCCCCCTTTTAAAAAAAAAAAAAAAAAAAAAAAAAAAAAAAACTTTTGCTGCTTGTTTAAGCTACTTATTTAAAATTAGCTGAATCTTCAAAATTCTTTCGGTTTTCTTTGGGACAATTTATTTGTTTTATGTTCAATCCACTTAAATTAGTAACAGCGATCAAGTTCATTTAATACATTTGTTTTAGGACAACATGAAGAAATTGTGTGGAAGCATTTTTTACAGTGTATAATTATACAGCACAAAATCTTTATTTGGAAACATCTAAACCTGCTTTTATCATAAATATGTTAGATTGAGTTGGAATAAATATTTCTATTGGATGATGACTCCTCTTCGTCATCATAATAATAGTATGTAGACTATATAATAATAAAGTATATTCCTGAAATAACCTAAAATATGCTTTATATGGTAACAGCATCTAAATTAACTAGTTTTATTTGCCATTAATTAGTTCAAACAGAGCAGAAATAATTATTTTATATTAATTTCACTCTTAATAATAGTAGTAGTTGTAATATCAGTAATAAACATAATAGTAGTAGTAATAATAATAATGATAATAGGATCAACTCAATAAAAATAAATAATTGCAGTAACAACAGCTGGATTTTGAAGAAACTTAAAAAATTGCTGTTTA